GGGAGTCCGGAGGGCTGTGGGTGTGGGAGGGTCCCTGGGTGAGCAGGCCAGGGAGGGGGCGCCCGCCGCACACCCCCGCCTGTGCGCGTAGGGGGATGCTGGGGACGCTGGGCGCCCGGCTGGCCGTAGGCTGTCCGTTGCCACCGGCGACTCTGCGGGTGTCCGACTGGGACGCGGCTGTCCTTCCCGGGGTCTGTCTGCGCTCGCTCTTACTCGATCTCTGGCCGCATCTCTCCGCTCTTCTCTGCGTCTTCGTGTCTCTGACTGTGTGTCTGCTGCGCCCCGCCCCCGCCCCGCAGACGTGTCCCGGGCGGTGGAGCTCCTCGAGCGGCTCCAGCGCAGCGGGGAGCTGCCTCCGCAGAAGCTGCAGGCCCTCCAGCGCGTCCTGCAGAGCCGCTTCTGCTCTGCCATCCGGGAGGTGAGAGCTGCGCGGCGCTGGGGCACGAGCGGGCGGCCGCCGTCCTCCTCCTGGTCGCCCGGAGCTCGGAGACTACGCCTCCCAGCAGCGCCTGGGGCGGCCCGCCTCGGGGTGCCTGCGCTTCAGCACCGGGGTTCTCTGGGAGTTGTAGTTTCCTCGGGCTCTGGGTTGCGGGGGCGTGGCGGATCCTTGGGTGGGAGGGTCTGGGGGCCTGGATTCATATGTCCGAGGAAGGAGGCGGGTGGCAGCTCCCTGATGCCGCTGCGTCCTCATCAGGTATATGAGCAGCTCTATGACACGCTGGACATCACCGGCAGCGCTGAGATCCGGGCCCACGCCACTGCCAAGGTAGGCGCTGCCCGGACCCGCTCCCCATCGCTCACGGTAGTCACTGAACTGCATGGTCTAGCTCAGGAACTTTTTTGTTTCCTTAAAGATTGGCACCTGAGCTAACAACTGTTGCCAATTTTTTTTCTCCTGCTTTTTTTCTTTCCTCCCCAAATCCCCCCAGTACATAGTTGTATATTTTAGTTGTGGGTCCTTCTAGTTGTGTCATGTGGGACGCTGCCTCAACATGGCCTGAGGAGTGGTGCCATGTCCGTGCCCAAGATCCAAACCCTGGGCTGCCCAAGCAGAGTTGGGAACTTAATCACTCGGCCTCAGGGCCGGCCCCTCAGGATCTTCTTAATGTCAGTCATTTCTGTTTCCTCCTTCATGATTTTTGCCAAGTCTGTGTACCACCCTTACTATTACTTATTTATAATTTATTTTAAATAATCTCACTTTCTTTTTAAGGTTTTATTTTTCCTTTTTCTCCCCAAAGCCCCCTGGTACATATTTGTGTATTTTTCAGTTGTGGGTCCTTCTAGTTGTGGCATGTGGGATGCCACCTCAGCATGGCTTGATGAGCAGTGCCATGTCGGAGCCCAGGATTCGAACTGGCGAAACCCTGGGCGGCCGAAGTGAAGCGAGGGAACTTAACCACTCGGCCGCGGGGCTGGCCCCCCCATTTTTAACTTAAACAAGTGTCACATAAAGGCATCTTTAGCAACTACAAATAGAAACTAGTACCACATGCCTGATTAGAAGATAACCTTAAACATCTATACAATGAAAACAAACGAACTAGCGGTAAACACTGAAATCTTAGTGAACTACAGTTCCATGCTGTTTCTTGCTGCTTCCTAGAGGCGCTGAGCTCCTTGCAGGCTTTGTTTTTGTGTGTTAAAAAGCGAGACTGAGGGGCTGGCCCCGTGGCCGAGTGGTTAAGTTCGCGCGCTCCGCTGCAGGCGGCCCAGTGCTTCGTTGGTTCGAATCCTGGGCGCGGACATGGCACTGCTCATCAAACCACGCTGAGGCAGCGTCCCACATGCCACAACTAGAAGGACCCACAACGAAGAATACACAACTATGTACCGGGGGACTTTGGGGAGAAAAAGGAAAAATAAAATCTTGAAAAAAAAAAAAGCGAGACTGGTAAGTGTCCAGTATTCAGGACACACGACAAATGGAGACTTTCTCTTGGACATGTCTGAAGGATCAAAGTGAACTCAAAGGGACAGATGTCATTACAGAGTGATCGTGTGATGAGCGGGGGCAGGCGCCCTGTGTGCGGGGAAGGTGATCTGGCCTCAGTCGCTCTCTCTGGCCCAGATCCTCCACCCCAGTCTGCTTGCCCACCATGGAGGGGCCCTCACCTCCGGCTGCTTTCTCTCTCCCAGGCCACGGTGGCCGCCTTCACAGCCAGTGAGGGCCATGCACATCCCAGGGTAGTGGAGCTGCCCAAGACAGATGAGGGCCTGGGCTTCAACATCATGGGGGGCAAGGAGCAGAACTCACCCATCTACATCTCCCGTGTCATCCCTGGAGGCGTGGCTGACCGCCACGGAGGCCTCAAGCGTGGGGACCAGCTGCTGTCGGTGAATGGTGTGGTGAGTAGGGGGCTGAGGTCGGGCTGGGGTCACAGTCTGTCCAAGGTAGCATGGTCCCTGTTTTTGACCTTCATTCAACACACACTGGTTGAACACTGCCTCTGTGTCCAGCCTTGTGCTCGGCACTGCTGCGGGCCCTGAGAGAAGTTGACCTCAGCTGCTACATTCAAGGACTCCCTCTCTGATGGGGGAGACAAACTCTGACTAAAGTAGTCCTGACCCAGGGAGATAATACTGAGGAAGCAGAAAGCATTGGACGAGCCCAGATGTGGCACTGGACCAGTGTAGATGAGGGAAGTTTTTGTAGAGGAAAGAACATTTGAGTTGGGTTTTGAAGAATGAGTAGGAGTTCTCCAGGCAAATAAGGTGAAGATGGGTTTTACTAGCTGAGAGTGTTGTAGGTAGAGGCTGTGACTCTGCTTTCCTGTGGGCTGAAGAGAAAGGGCTTGATTCTGATGGAGGTCTGGGGCATCCAGGTAATCACTGTGGTTAGAGTAGGTGGAGGCATAACTGGGTGGGTGGTTGGGGCCAGCCATGCAGGGCCTGAGTGCCAGCCTGAGAAGCTGGGACTTTGTTTCAAGGGTTGTGGGGAGCCATGGGACCTGTGAGTCGTGGAGGGGTAGGCTCAGCTTGGAGGTATAGAAGGACCTCTTAGGGACTCCGTGGGGGATGGACTGAGGGGACACTGGAGGCCAGGCCAGGGAGGAGGCTACGGTGAGAACCCACAGGGGAGAGGACAAGGCCTGAGCTGGAGCCAGGGTGGTGGAGACAAAGAAGAGGGAGTCGGGGCAGGACAGATAAGGCTGGGGATTAGTGGGCTGTGGCGGGGAAGGGGACAGAGATGGGCAGGGAGGTCTGGCTCAGTGACTGAAGGCATATGGGGCTTGTCCCTGACATAGAGAACCTGGAAGGTTTTGGGGGAGGACACTGAGCCAAGAGTTATGAGGACACGAGGTCTTGGCATCTCAGGGTTGGTACCAGGCTCCCCAAGGGATGGTCCCATTTCCGGGGTGGGGGCTGGGTGAGGGCGGTGGGCCCCAGGCCCAGCTGTCTGTGTACCGCCCTGCAGAGCGTTGAGGGTGAGCAGCACGAGAAGGCAGTGGAGCTGCTGAAGGCGGCCCAGGGCTCAGTGAAGCTGGTGGTGCGTTACACCCCTCGCGTGCTGGAGGAGATGGAGGCCCGCTTTGAGAAGATGCGCTCCGCCCGCCGGCGCCAGCAACACCAGAGCTACTCGTGAGCCCTTGCTCCCACACCCCTGGGGTGTCCACTGCCTGCCTTAGCTCCAGACTCCCAGACCCGGCCAGTGATTTCTGGGACCCTGATTGCCACCCCCAGCCCTGGCTCCTCTCCCCTGGGATTCTGACCCTTGACCTGACCCATGCACTCACCCCACAGTGTTCTGGCTATATCCCTTGGGGACTCCTGGCTCACTCCCATCCCAAGATCTGGAACCTCCTCTCTCTGGAATCCCTCAACCCACTTCCCTGGGCCCTTGGCTCTGGAACCCCGGACCTGGCTCTCTCCCAGCCCTCCCGGGATCCCCTCCCCTGAGCCTGGCTCCCCTCTCTTCACCCTCCTTGCAGGTCCTTGGAGTCCCGAGGCTGAAACCACAAATCTGGACCCTCACCCTCATTCCTTCCCCTGTACAGTATTTATTGTCACCGGCTCCTTATTTAAAGATCTTTGACCCTCACTGAGTGTCTGTGTGTCTGTCCTGCATCCTGGGTTAAGAGTGTCTTGACATGTGGGGGAGGGAGAGAACCTGAGGTCGAGACCAGGCCCTGAAGAAGCCCTTTTCAGAGTCTGGGAGCAGAGTTGCACACTCTTCCCTACGTCTGAAGGCGGAGGCTGGCGGGCTTGCTAGGGACAAGTCCAAGGCCAGAGACTGGAACCCGGTCTGGGTCTGCGTGCAGAGTCAGAACTGAAAACAACGCGCCCTACCCTTAAGAGAGTCTGAGGGCGGAGGCCAAGCCCCTTCCTCCCTAGCTGGTGGGATGGTGGAGTCCCGAAACGCTGCAGGAGCCAGTGGGCGGCCTCTGTGTGGGCGGGGCGGAGCGAACCATTAGCCTCGTCCGCCGGGGGAGCCCTGCAGGCCGTACTATCGTCTGCGGGGGAGGCGGGGGTGGGGGCGCCGCGTGCAGTTCCCCAGGCGGGCGCAGGGGGTGCAGAATAAGGTGCACTCGCCGACCCGGCGCTCATCCCACCTTCCAACCCGAGCGCGCATCTCCGGGAGCCGCCCCCGCCTTAAAATCCAACCTTTCCTCTCATCTCGCCGCCGGCCCAGCCCTCCCGTCCCGTGCGGCGCCAGGGCCAGTGTGCGCCACCGCCGGGATCCAGGGTCGCGACTCGCGTTCCACGCCGAGCGCCACTCGCTCCAGGTGACATCATCCCCCTGCCAGGCTCCGCCTCCCGCCCCAGCCGCCGCACGCCGCGCGCCTATTGGCCGTCGCGCCTTGAGCCCCGCCTCCCGCTCTCCGCCCGCGCGACCCCTCCCGGCCCGCGCGGAGGCGGGGTTTAGCCGCCGGCCGGCGCCGACGCCGCTTCCCATTGGCCACTCAGGGCCGTCTGTCAGCCTCCTGTTAAAGGGGCCACGACCGCCCGGGAGCCGCGCGGGGGGGGAGGGAGGAGGAATTTTTTTGGGGGGGAAGGTGGGATTTGGGGGGCGCTGGTGGGCACCCCTGGATCTGGCGGCTGCGGCCTTGCGGGGGGAGGCCGAACGGTGACTGGGGCAGGGGGCTATTTTCGGGGGTAGAGGGCTGAGACCGTGAGGGGAAGGGGGGTCCCCAGCGCCCAAGCCGGAGCAAGAGACGCGGAGCCCGCGCGAGCAGCGGAGACAGGGCTCCGGAGCCTCAGATCCGGGCCCCGGCTGCCGCCAGGGGCCCCGCCCGGTCCCCCCCCCCCACCCCACGTCCCTCCTGCAGCCCAGCTCCGCCCGCAGCCGCCGCGGACCAGGTAGGTAAGAGACCCGGCCCGGCCCGCCTGGCAGCGCCCACCCCAGGGACCCCTCGCCGAGATTCCCCCGCCTCCCAGCGATCCTGGATTCCCTTCTTCATCCCCGGGGACCCCAGAGCCCAGGTTTCCCAGCCCAACCCCAGAGACCCAGGCGTGCCCCTCCCGGCTCCTAGAGTCCCCAACCGAACCCTAGAATCCCAGGCGTACTGCCGCCTTGCGCCTCCTCCAGGGCCCAGGAGCCTGGATTTCAGTGCAGCCCCGGGAACCCCCTCTGGACCCAGGTCCTCCTCCTCAGCCCCGTCCCGGGAGCTCCAGACACCCTCCGCGGCTGTGTCAGACTCCCCCGGCGAAGGCCGGCCGTCCCCCGTCGCGTCCGCATAGTCCCCCATTCGCGCACCCCGTCTGCCCATCTCCAGCCCTCCGGCTTGAACAGCCGGCCGCGTCCCTCAGTCCAGGCCGGCTTGGCAGCCGCCCTGGCCGCAGGCCCGCTCTGGAGCTGTCCATGGTCAGCGCACTCGGCAGCCTCGCCTCCCCCACCTCCCGCTGCCGCCGCCGGAGAGGGGGCGCCGGCGGCGCGGGGATCCCCCCCGCCGCGCCTTTGACCCGGGGATACCCGGGCCCTCCCCGGCCCGGGCGCCCGGGCCTCAGGGTTCCGCTGGTCAGTCTCCCGGCCCCATCCTCGGCACCCCAGGTTTCTGGGACCCTATCTCTTTCTGAGGAGTCAGGGCTTCTGAATGTTCCTGCCCGGTCCACCTTAGGGACATTGGCATCCAGGGATCCAGCTCCCACCCAGCTCTGGGAGTGCTGTCAGCTTTAGCTGTGGGGCTAAAAGACCCAGCTGGTAGCCCTCACCCCCTCAGGACCTGGGAATAGTTTCCCAGACTTTGTCCCCTTTAGAGACCCAGTTCAACAGCCCCTGTGCCCCTCAGACAAATATACCCAGCCTCCTGGCACCCCAGCATCTGTTCCCTGAGGGATTCAGGCGCCATGACTCTCTCCCTGTTTCAGGAGTCTCGGAATGCAATTCTTAATGCATTTCTTAGGCTTCTGCCTACCCTCCACCTTGGAGACCTAGAGGCCCTGTGCCCAATCTTGCATACCCTCAGGGACCCAGGAGTTCATCTCCCAGTGTCTGTACTGCCCACCAGCCTTTGCCCAGGCTGTCTGCCCCAGCCCTGCTTCCCAACCTCCCATCCCTTACTTCCACAAGGATTCAGAAGTCCAGGTCGCCAGCTCTGCCCCACCCCCCTACCCCAGGTTTCTAGCTCCTCAGCTCTTACTCTTAGGGACCCAGGTCCCTATGGCCTCACAAGCCCCCATCAACTTGACATCTCTGGGGACCTTGACAAACCCCTGCCTCATCCCCGTACCATCTCAGGCGCTGGGACCCCTGGGACTCTTCACTCTCTCCCCTGAGACCCAGCTTCTTAAGATGTTTCCAGCACCCCATTGCCTCCTGAGGCCCATATGGTGATGTCCCATCCTCTGAGTACACCCTCTCAGGCTGAGGAGCCAAACATACATCCCTTCTTCCAGATGCGCTCTGTGGCCTAGGCTCATTCTTTGATCTAGAACCTGCCCACTCTCTTCTACATTTCTGGTTAAACATGTGCCCCTGGGATGCTCCATGTTCTAGAGTCCTTCTAAATCCTAGAACGCTTCCAGTCAACATCTCTGTTCCATCTTCACCCAAGGCATGTTCTAAATTCTAGGCTAGGTGCCAAATTCCAGGCACGTCTTTCCCCAAGTGAATTCAGATGTCTAGATAATACTCCCGAACCACATTCTGATCCCACCCTCTCCTCAGACATGTTCCAAAGTTTTAGAAACCAGTCCTTGCTTGTTCCCTGCTAAAATTTCATTTTAGGTGTGTTCTAGGTTCCAGCCACGTCCTTGCCATTGTTCTAGATTCCATTATCTTCCCAGGGACATTCTAAGTTCTAGAATGTGAGTGTTCCAGCTATGTGCCCTCGCCTTTCTCCAAATTGTGTTATCAATTCCAGAATGCACTTCCTAGTTTTAGGTTCCATCCAATTCTACACTCTTAAATCTAGAGGATTCCCACTGAAGTGTTCTACATTATATCTTCTTTCCTCAGATTCTAGGTTCTAGAACCATCCATGGCCACCTTCTCTGTCCATCTTTCCCCTAGTGTGACCTTAATTTAGAACTTGTCCCCTGGTGGATTGTGGGCCTCCTCCTCCATCTGCCACTTCAGCATTCCAAGCATGCTCTAGGCTCTTTCCTCTTCTGGAGTTTTCAGCCTAGAAATGTCCTCATTTCCAGAACATCCCCACCCCCCTTTGCCAGCTCAGTCCTTATGCCAGTAAATTCTCAATTCCCGGCATGCATCCTTCTGCATCTTCCCCCAGGCACTTGTAAGTTCCAGGCAAACTCCTTGCTACTTTCTAGGTTTTTCTTCACCTCCTGGGCATTCTGAATTCTAGAGCATATCTTCTGTCTTCTGAGTTCTAGCATTATCTAGACATGATAAAACCGAGAATGCAACCCCTGCTATATTTTGTGTTCTACCTTCATCGCTGGTAGATTCTGAGTTCTAGACTGTGTCTCCTGACTAGGTTTGTTAGGCATTGCATTAGGTATGTTCTTAGATATCATTATGCTCCCCTCTGTGTTTAGGGTTCTGGGGTGACCCAGATATGCTTTACATTATTGATGGCACTTGGCTGATTCCAGGTTCCAGAACTGGGTTCTAGAATATGCTCCTCTCCTTGGTCCTACGTGCGGTCTTACCCCAAGCACATTGTAAATGTGGAAGTGTATGTCTGCATTCTGTACCGTGCCTTCATGCCCGTGGCTTTCTAGAGTCTACACTGAGCCTTGCTGTGTTTTATTTCCTTCTGGGTGAATTTGAAGTTCCAGAGCAAGCCTCCCTCAAGCACGCTGTGGTGCATCTCCTGAGTAGGTTCTGGGTTTTAGATACCACGTCGGTTTCTGGCCTCAGGCTGGCCTGCCCTCTTATAAAACATTTTCCTGAATCTGGCCTCTGAGTCTTGGGATTCAGGTGTCTAGATTTCCAGATGCACCTCTTCAAAGACCCGGGGTACAGGAGCCCAGCCGCCTCCTCTCCCCTGTCCCAGACTTTGGACATAGTCTGCACGTTGGGTGGGGCTGGGAATTATCTACTCTCAGAACCGGTTATGCCGCTGCCCGAAGGGGGAGAAGGAAAGGAGGGAACACAGTGAAAAGTCTCTCCTGCTTTCGGCCGGGCCAGCCGGACCCGTCTGACCTGATGTGTGCAGAGGGAGGGGCTCAGGAGACCTCGCTTCATTTCTGCCCACAGCTCCTGCACTTGGACTCCTGGGTTCTGGGGGAGGGGGGGTCTGAGGCTGGGATTTCTGGGTCTAAAGTTGGAGGTTGAAAGCCCAGACTCTGGTGTCCTGGGGGAGGAGGGGGGTGTGGTCTGTGACTCCTGTGTCTGGGGAAGGAAGGGACTCAGGGACCTAGACTCTGACCTGAGGGAGGAGGGAGCTGGATCTTGGACTCCTGGGTCGGTCGTGGGAGATAGCTAGCATGGCCTCCTGCCAGGATTTTTTTTTTCTTCCCAAGTCGAGTGGGTCTTCTTCTGGAGCTGGGGTCCAGATCTCTGGGAAATTGAAGGAGGCAAGAGTTGGGCTGGATAGCAGGTGACGACCATCACTGTGACATCGTACAGGTAACCTCGTGCCAGTGACCTAATTCTGTGACCCCAGTGCTGTGGCCTCCTGAGGGCATGGTTCTCCCCTGGGGCTCGGTTTTCTCTTGCAGTGGGTCGAGGGGAATTCTCAGAAGGGCCAGAATTGGTAGAGGCTGATTTTTCCACATTCACTCAGGCAATGCCTGGGTCACCCGGCTTCGGGTTCTCTGACTCGGCCGGACCTAGATTGGCTTCCAGTGCCTGGTGGAGTCTGACCTCGGTTTCCCCAAATGCTCTCGCCCACGTAGCCCGGCCTGGTTTCCTGAGAGCAATGGGTTTCAGCGTATCCCGTGTCATAACTGGAATGGAGAGGCCTCAGTTTCTTCTGTGCAATGCCTGGGTTGCCCCGCCTCAGTTTCCCCTGCGTAGTATCTGAGTGGCGGTGCCTCAGTTTCTCTGCCTGTGCCTTGAAGAGGCCGATCTCTGCTCCCTGCCCCCTCCCCGCACCCGCAGGCCAGCACCGCCGCCATGATGTGCGAGGTGATGCCCACCATCAGCGAGGATGGCCGGCGGGGCTCGGCGCTGGGCCCGGACGAGGCAGGCGGCGAGCTGGAGCGCCTCATGGTCACCATGCTCACGGAGCGCGAGCGGCTGCTCGAGACGCTGCGCGAGGCGCAGGACGGGCTGGCTACGGCGCAGCTGCGGCTGCGCGAGCTCGGCCACGAGAAGGACTCGCTGCAGCGCCAGCTCAGCATCGCGCTGCCCCAGGTCTGGGCGGGGCCGGGGCGGGGCTGGCGGGAGGCGGGGCCTCGACCCGTGAAGGCAGGGAGTGGGCGGTCTGGAAGGGGCGGGGCTTGACACTTGGAAGGGCGGAGTCGGGGGTGGGGTGGGCTGTCGGTGATGGGCGGGGCCTGGGCCTCTAGAAGGGGCGGGGCATAGCGGGCAGGGGCGGGGCCTTCAAACTCTCAGGCCTGTGGAATGAGGGAGACGGGGAAAGGACTGATCTGATTGTCCCGATCCTGTCCGCATCTGGACAGGAGTTTGCCGCTCTGACGAAGGAACTGAATTTATGTCGGGAGCAGTTGCTGGAGCGTGAGGAAGAGATTGCAGAGCTGAAAGCGGAGCGGAACAACACGCGGGTGAGGGGTGTTGGGGGCGGGGCCAAAGTGGGATGGGCAGGACCTCCAGGTGTTGCAGCCTGACCCATCTTTTTTCTCCATCTCGCCTTCCTGTCCTCTCCTCTCCGCTCCCACTGCCTGGCCGGCCTCCTCTGGTCCTCTCCTTCCTTCATGTCCCCTCCCCTATCTTCATAACCGTTCTCGTTTCCTGTGCCACTCTTTCCTTACGGTGTTCCCACCTGTCTGAACCACTCTCTTCCTCAACGCTGCTTCTCTTCCCTTGCCTCTTTTCCCTGGACTGACGCCCTATCCGTGTAGCTTCTCCTGGAACACCTGGAATGCCTGGTGTCCAGGCACGAGAGATCACTGCGCATGACCGTGGTGAAGCGCCAGGCCCAGTCCCCGGGCGGGGTTTCTTCCGAGGTGGAGGTGCTCAAGGCTCTAAAATCCCTCTTCGAACACCACAAGGCCCTGGATGAGAAGGTATGAGAATCAGAGGAGCCTGGATGCAGAATGGAAATCCGTGGATGGCTGGGGCTGTCCTGAATGGGAGAGATTCTGGCTGTGATTGGTTGGGGATGTCCTAAGTGGGAAGAATGTTGACCGTGATTGGGACAGGCTACGCCCACTGGGACCATGAACTGGGGCGGGGGGTGGCTACCAGGGGATGGGGCTATCTTGGTAGCTGGCTGAGGCTGTACACCCATTACAGATAGAGGAATCTTAATGTTCCCTATCAGGCCCGTCCCAGGGGTGTTCTGCGTCACGGTCAAACGTCCTAGATTGGGTTTGATCTCCATCTCACTCCATCCTGCCCCCATCTCCAGGTCCGGGAGCGGCTGCGGATGGCGCTGGAGCGGGTGGCAGTGCTAGAGGAGGAGTTGGAGCTGAGCAATCAGGAGGTGGGGGGGCGTGGCCAAGAAAGGGAGGGCTGGACTAAGGAGCCCCTCAATGGGGTGGAGCTGATTGGGTGGGTTCCGAATCTGTTGGGGGCAAGACTAGGGCAGAGGGCCAATGGGGTTGGACTATGCAGAGGAGTAGTGGGGTTGCTAAGGAGGAACTCATCGTCAGGGCTAAGGGGAACACTGCTCAGTGAGAGTGAGACTAAGGTGAGAAACAGGGGCTGGGGCTGAGGGAAACTGACTACAGAGGAAATGGTTGGATGAACAAAGTCAGGGCTAAAGAGGACACGCCCACAAGGAGGCTAGGACAAGAGTAAGGGTGGACTTCCTCTCTAGTGGGCGGCTAAGGAGAGATATAATGAGGGCGCAGGGTCTAAGGGTGGACTGTGAAGTGGGGGTGGCCCCAGCAGGGCGGGGGCCAGTGGGAAGTAGATCGGGGGGTTCTGGGACTCCCTTCGCCCTGATCTCCCTTTCCCGTTCCCAGACTCTGAACCTTCGAGAGCAGCTGTCCAGGCGCCGGTCGGGGCTGGAGGAGCCTGGCAAGGATGGGGATGGGCAGGTAAGAGGTAGAAATCCTTTGCTCCCTTGCTCTTCATTGGTCCCCAGCCCTGTGACCTCGATTCAGCTTCCTAACTTTGTGATGGTCCTTTTAATGTTTGGTATGATCCTCACTGACCCTAGGACATCTGAACCCGTAAGACCTTTACTGGCCTTTGACCTCTGATTCAGGTCACCTAGCTAATTTCTGTGACCTCCATGACCCTACAGATCTGTGATTTCCCCTATCCCCCATTAACTTTCTCCTTGCATTCTTTCTATATCTCTGTGTTTCCCACTCTGAGTTCTGTCCCTTCCTCCCTCACTGTCCCCATTCCAGACCCTTGCCAATGGCCTTGGTCCTGGCGGCGATTCGAACCGGCGCACGGCAGAGCTGGAGGAGGCCCTGGAGCGGCAGCGGGCGGAGGTGTGCCAGCTGCGGGAGCGCCTGGCGGTGTTGTGCCGCCAGATGAGCCAGCTGGAGGAGGAGCTGGGCACCGCCCACCGCGAGCTGGGTAAGGCCGAGGAAGCTAACGCCAAGCTCCAGCGCGACCTCAAGGAGGTGAGGCCGGAGCCCCTGGTGGGCTGCCCTCTGTCCCTCCCCCAACCCTCCCCCTTTGCCCAAAGTCACAGAGCTCATGAATGGTGGAACCTGGATTCAGTCCACAAGCCGTGTGGATTCTCCTCTCTGGCCTCAGTTTCCTCACCTGTAAAATGGGATTTATGATCCTTGTGAGAGGGTTGGCATGTGGCACGTACATGGTAGGCATTCTGTAACTGGCCGCAGTTATTACGTTATCATTGGGAAATTCTCTTGTGCCTCTAAATTGAATTCCTTTGTCTGCATTTCACCCCTTCCTCGCTTAGGCCCCTTGATCCCAACTCTCATACCCCAGGGACTGCTGGGAAATGTAGGCTCTGGATTCTTGAAGGCAGTGGATGAGAAAGAAGAGTGAGCACTCTACTCTGGGGCCTTCACCTCGGATTTTAAGCCTGGATGACCCCGGGGCCTGTTGGGAAGTGTAGTCCCCCTGTGTGGGCTCCGAGGTGGGAGTCCATTTCCCATGAGACCCTGGAGCACCTTCTCTGGCCGCCTAAGCCTGCGCTACGCTGGAAGGGAACTTCGTTTCCCATGAGACCCTACGGCACTTGCTCTGTGGTTCTAAGCCTGGGCTATGCCGGAAGTTGCTGAAAAATCTAAGGCCTGGATTTCTGAGGCGAGTGGGCCAAGAAGAGTGGAGAGTTCCCATCCCACAGGCCTTAGGTCATCCATACTAGGAGAGTCTAACCCTAGATGCTCATAGGAAGTGTGGTACCACCCTTTAACTCTCAGGTGGCAGGGGACCCAATATTGGCTATTGCTGGGAAATCTTGGAAGGTGTGGTTCCACCATTCTGACGCTCCGATGGCAGAGGACTTGATTTCCCAGGATACCCTAGGGTGCTTGACCTGAGATTCTAAGCCTAGGCTACCACAGGGCCTTCTGGGAGCTGTAGTCCATGCGGCCGTTTGCCACCTCTGCAGGCGCTGGCTCAGCGGGAGGATATGGAGGAGCGGATCACGACCCTGGAGAAGCGCTACCTGAGTGCCCAGCGCGAGGCCACGTCTCTGCACGATGCCAACGACAAGCTGGAGAACGAGTTGGCCAGCAAGGAATCGCTGTATCGGCAGGTGGGGGCGTGGCCGGGGAGCAGCGATGGGGGAGAGGCCGTGGCCCGCTTGATCTAGCTTCTCCCCTCCTCCATCTCTGTCATTCTGCAGAGTGAAGAAAAGAGCCGTCAGCTGGCCGAGTGGCTGGACGATGCCAAGCAGAAGCTGCAGCAGACTCTGCAGAAAGCGGAGACCTTGCCCGAGATAGAGGCGCAGCTGGCCCAGCGCGTGGCGGCCCTCAACAAGGTCGGGGGACGCCTGGGGCGGGGCCTTGAGTCTCTGGGGAAAGGGGCGGAGCCTGGAGGAGGCAGGGCTTGAGTCTGGACAGGTCGTAGATCTTCAACCTGGATTCTGGGGGAAAAGGGCGGGCCCTGGGGTGTAGGAAAGGGATGGGACTTGGAATGGGGGAGGGCCTGGAGGTTTGGGGGGCTGTTCTCTAGTCTGGAACGAAAGGATGGGTGGCCTGTAACATGAACTGAGAAAGGGACAGGGCCTGTAGACTATACAGACCGGGGCAGGGCCTGAATCGCAAGTGCAGGGTCTGAAGTCCTGCGGGGGAGGAGCCTGGAGCTCTGGGGGCGGAGCCTGGCACTCAGCCTTGGAGGAGGTGCGGCTGGAGCCTGACTGGGTCACAGTGGGACAAAGTCAGATGCCTTGGGTTCCATCCACTAGGCTGAGGAACGTCATGGAAATTTTGAGGAGCGGCTTCGGCAGTTGGAGGCCCAGTTGGAGGAGAAGAATCAGGAGCTACAGCGGGTGAGGGGGCGGACAATTGCAGAGAGGGCGGGGCCTTGAGGCTGGGGGAGGAGCTTAGGTAGGGGGCTGGCTTGGGGGCGGGAGCTTAAAGCAGGGGCTGCGGTCTGGGCCAGGTGGGCTTGAGCGCCTCTGTCCGGCTCTACTTCGGGCAGGCCCGGCAGCGGGAGAAGATGAACGATGACCACAATAAGCGGCTGTCCGAGACCGTGGACAAGCTGCTGAGCGAGTCCAACGAACGGTTACAGCTTCACCTCAAGGAGCGCATGGGGGCGCTGGAGGAGAAGGTGCGCCCCAACCTAGGGCTCTGATAAGCTGGAATTCTGGACTGCCTTTTGCCAGAATCCTGGGGTCCCAGACATTTGCCCGGGATCGCTTACCTGAGGTCTCCCCAAATCTGGGCATCCCGAATTCAACAGACTTCTCTACTCTATTGCTGGGACCACTCTCTCACCTAGTCCTTTTTTTTTTTTTCTGCTTTTTCTCCCCAAATCCCCCAGTACATTCTAGTGTATTCTAGTTGTGGGTCCTTCTAGTTGTGGCATGTGGGACGCCGCCTCAGCATGGCCTAATGAGTGGTGCCATGTCCGCACCCAGGATCCAAACCGGTGAAACCCTGGGCCGCCAAAGCGGAGCAGGCGAACTTAACCACTCGGCCACAGGCCGGCCCTTTCACCTGGTCTTAATACCCCAAGAGCTGAATTCTGGGCCACCCGTACCCTGAGTTCTTGGTTTTTTTCCCCAAGTCTCTAACCCTGTGGGCCCTCAAACTCTGAATCCACGGAGATTATACAGGAGGCCGGATATTGGGGCTCCCAGGGACTGCCCTCTGCAGATGCATCTTTGGCCCCACAACCCTCACTCCTTGCAGCTTACCATTCACGCCCACTTCATCCCCCCTAGGGTCCCCTCAGGCCTGTCTCTGGACACTTACAGCCCCCAGGGCCTGCCCCTTCCAGGCTCCACCCTCACTCTGCACCCCTGTCCCCCACAGAACTCATTGAGTGAGGAAATTGCCAACATGAAGAAGCTTCAGGACGAGTTGCTGCTCAACAAGGTATGGAGGCGCCTGGAGGGCGAGGACCAGGGAAATGGCGCTGTCATTACTGGGGTTGGAATCAGCCGGGCTGGAAGGGGCTGTTCCTCAGGGGCAGAGAGGATTCTGACCCGACACCTCCAACCCCCTCCCTCCAGGAGCAGCTCTTGGCGGAGATGGAACGGATGCAGATGGAGATCGACCAGCTTCGGGGGAGGCCACCATCCTCCTACTCCAGGTGACAGTCATCTTCCTGCTCCACCTCTCCCCAGGGAGCCCCCTTGGCCGGGGTCATCCTTTCTGATCCCCAGATCTCCCCCATGCCCGCTCCCTGTCCTCCTGGGATTTCCCCTCACTTTTGATCTCTGACTTCATGACCCCTGACCTCAAACTCCTTTTCCTGATCTTTGACTTCAGATCCCTCTTCCAGTCCCCTGACACCAGACCCTTCCCTGTGACCCTTGACTTCTCTTTCCTGACCCCTTTGTCCCTGACTGTCTCCCCATGCCCACAGGTCTCTCCCTGGCAGTGCCCTGGAGCTCCGTTACTCCCAGGCACCCACATTACCTTCTGGCGCCCACCTGGACCCCTATGGGGCTGGCAGTGGCCGGGCAGGCAAGAGGGGCCGCTGGTCGGGGGTCAAGGATGAGCCCTCCAAGGTCAGCAGCCACTTTTGGGGCCCGGACTGAGCAGGGCTTGGGCGGGCAGCAGTGGGAAGTGGAGCCCAATAGCCGGGTTCTGAAAGGGGGCTGGGTGGAGGCAGGCTCTCCCAGACCCACGCTGTCTTCTCTTCTCCTACAACTAACTCCATCATCCCCACTTGCCTGGATGTCTCTGCACATGGATGTCCTGCTGCCTGGTGAGAACCTTACAGGAATGATGGGGTGGAAAGAGGGGTGGGGCCTGGGGGACCGTGGGCAGGGTGAAGAATCCTAGAATGGGTGGGACCAGGTGAAGAAAGGAAGCAGGCAGGTTGAGGGAAACAGTAGAATCAGGGGAGGGGTGGAGGCATGGGTGGTGGGGGTGGTCCAGAAAATGGGCCTGTCAGGAGAGAAACCTGGGCTGAGAAAAGTGTGGGGGAACTGGGTCAACATGATGAAGCTAGTCAGTATCAGGGAACACGGACCAGGTCATGGAGGGTGCGCAGAGTCGGGAGAGGTGAGGGAAGATCCAGCATCTACCTTGGCCCCCGCCCACCTTGCATCCCTCTGTCCCCACACAGAGACAGGAGTGGGAACGGTCTGCTCCTGCGGGGTCCATGCCGCCCCCATTCCCTGGGGAGCTGGATGGCTCAGACGAGGAGGAAGCGGAGGGAATGTTTGGGGCTGAGCTGCTCTCCCCCAGTGGGCAGGCTGACGTGCAGACGCTGGCCATCATGCTTCAGGAGCAGCTGGAGGCCATCAACAAGGAGATCAAGTGAGCGCTGGCCCGGTCCGGCTCCACTCTGCCCCCATCTCCTCTCCCACCATCTTCAAGGGTTTCTCCCAGCCCAACACCCCCTCCAGGATCCAGGGATCCCCCAGGATACACCTAGAAGTCTCTGATGTGCTATCTCTCTCTCTATACCCCCAGCCAGGACTCACGATTTCCCAATACACCAAAGACTGCATCCCCAAATACCAAAATTCTCAAAACAATATATCAGAAATCCTCTAGTACACCATGGATTTCATGGCATCACACAACCAGTATCCAGAGTCTCACAGTACCCAAAGAATCTCGACATAACACAAGATACCCAGCCCAAAATACCGAGGATCTCATTCTAACACCTCAAGAAGGTCAAATCTAGATACCAAGAGCTTCTGCCTAATATAACAAGAATCTTCGATTTATTAAGAATCCCTCACACCATCATGTCTACACTGATTCCCCAGCAATTGCCCTATTTAGCAGTTCTCTAATAACACACTCTCCCTGGGCCCCAGCAAATATGCCAACGTGACCACCACCTTCGATTCAAACTCTTTCTGATGAGAGGCATCGACTCTCACCTACTGAATGACCTCATGACCTTTCCCAGATCCTAGGTTGACCTCAGAGTCCCCGATCTCATCCTGATCTTATTACGACCTTGCTCTTGCTGCCCTCCTTGGAACTTGACCTCTTGCCCAGAGTAATCCCTTTGTGATCTTCCAGAACCAGTTGGTTATCGTCAGGGTTGCCCTGATGCAGACCCCTCATCATTCATCCTCCCCGATTCCTCCATGACCTCCTGAGCCTATGGTGACCCCTGACTCCCCTTAAACCCGTGAGACCGTCATGAATCCACCAAGACCCTCTAACTTCATCCTGCCTTCCCCAGGATTGTTTTCGCCCCATCGAACTTTCCTGGCCAGTTGGGATCCCCAGACTCCCTCTCCCATTGTCTGCCTAAGTCCTCTCACGCAGTCTCCTCCGTTTCCCTCCTCAGGCTAATCCAAGAGGAGAAGGAGACAACAGAACAAAGGGCAGAGGAGCTGGAGAGCCGAGTGTCTGGCTCCGGCCTGGACTCGCTGGGCCGCTACCGCAGCAGCTGCTCCCTGCCCCCCTCCCTCACCACCTCTACCCTTGCCAGCCCCTCCCCTCCCAGCTCTGGCCATTCGACACCCCGCCTGGCACCCCCTAGCCCTGCCCGTGAGGGCACCGACAAAGCAGTGAGTGTTCTGAAGCCTCCTCAGCTTGGTGGGGTGGCAGGGGGGTCAGAAACAGGGCTCCCCAACAAACAGCAACAAGAACCCCTCACACCAGTCGTTTTCAAAAGCAACCTTAGCTTTCCCTAAAAGTTCCAATTCAAAGGGCGAAGGGTAAGTTGAGTCACTGGATTCCTGAACCTTAATTTGTCCTTTAGTCAGATCTGGCCCACTTTTACCTGTTTTATGCATTCATTTTTTGCGTAGGATTTTTTTTTTTTAATGTTTCTATGACTAAACATACATTTGAGAACTATCATTAGATCCTCAGAATTGACCTCTAGGGAGGCATAAGAGATATTAGTCCTATTTTATTTCCTTAAACTCAGCTTTCCTGCTTCCAGAACCTGTGACTCATTAGCTTTCCTTGAGGCTGAGCAGATCCCACTCCTGACACCAGAAGCCAAGAGACTATAAACATGGGCTCATCAAGCTCCAGGGGGACTGCGCTCATTGCCTTTATGTTCCTGCAGCTAACCCCGACTTGTTCTAGGCTACCTTCAGAAATGGTGCCCCAAACCAGGGGCATCCCAGACACCCCCTAGTAGACATCCCAACGAATGAGCCCCCAACATGACCCCTCCAACTCAATCCAGCATCTCTGCCTGTCTGTCCCCAGAATCATGTCCCCAAGGAGGAAGCTGGGGTTCCACGAGGGGAAGGGCCAGCCATCCCAGGAGACACCCCACCTCCCACTCCCCGCTCTGCTCGCCTTGAGAGAATGACCCAGGCCTTGGCACTCCAGGCGGGATCCTTGGAAGATGGGGGGCCCTCACGGGGAAGGTCAGCAGGGACGAGGGATGGGGCTTGGTCGGGAGGATGAGAGGGGAGTGGACAAAGACTTGGGCTGAGAAGAGGCATCTTAGATGGGGTCTGCCCTCACTCTGTCCTTCTCACCTAGTGAGGGCACCCCAGATTCCCTGCACAAAGCCCCTAAGAAGAAGAGCATCAAGTCATCCATAGGCCGTCTCTTCGGCAAGAAGGAGAAGGGGCGAATGGGACCACCAGGCCGGGACAGCTCTTCTCTGGGTGAGTACCCTGATTCTAACTCTCCTTTCCTTCCCTCCTTCCGTCTTTCCCTTCCTCCCTCCCTTCCTTCCTCCCTTCATCTCTTTCTTCTTTCTTCTTTATATATTCACTTGACATTCATTCGTATCTTCATTCATTTGATAATTCATTTAGAATATGGAAGGGACCAGACTTGGCAGAGGTACAGGGGAGGAAGAGGGACAAGGAAAGGGCCTTCTGAGGCATGCCCAGGTGACTGGGAGTGGTGGTGGTAAATGAATTTGTTATTTCATTCATTTATTTTTTAAATAGAGAAAGAAGGAGGAGCATCCTAAAGGCAGAGCCCCTGGTATGCTGGAACCCGCTTGTTCTGGCTTGCGAGAGCCAATAGTTAAATTTTCTGGAATTTGTGGGCTGCTTGCCATCATATTGGTAGCTTGAAATTGGCATGGTGGGAGAATTTACACCATGGAAACTGGCAAATGCCACAAAGCGGGGATATTCCCTCCCTCCCCAGGGAGCCAGTTGTTAAACATTTACCAGCACACCACTGCCACTTTGACACAGCCAGCCCACTAAGTCCAGCCCTATTTTGGAGATGTCGGATGTCTCCAATTTATTGCCTGGGAGGTGACATTGATCCCTGTCTGGGTTTATCACTCTCACTATGTGGCCTCATTTACTACTCCCTTGGGGCCTCTGCTTTCCTGGGATCCTTCTCACCCACCTTGGCATGAAAGATTCTGCTTCCCCATTGAGACTCCAAATTTTGGCCCCTCCTTGTCTCCAGCTGGAACACCCTCAGACGAGACATTGGCCACTGACCCTCTGGGGTTAGCCAAGTTGACGGGTCCAGGAGACAAGGACCGAAGGAACAAGAGGAAGTGAGTGTGTGTGGGTTGGGGGGAGGGCTGGTGGTCCTAAGTGAAAAGAAAATGCTGGGAGAGGGGGTGTCCAGGATCCTGACTTGCTTGCCTGGAAACTTGGGAACTCCTAGAATTTTTCCTTATTTTTTCTCTTCTCTGTCAATGGAGGTGGGGAGGGGAGGATGACATACAGAGATTCACATGCATTTTTTTTTAACTTTCTGCCACATTTTCTACATTCCTAAAAACTGCCTGTGGTGGGGGAGGTGTTGTAGTGAAGAGAGCTATCCAAGAGGGCTGGGGGTCTCTACCCCCTGAGAGCTCCTGCCCTGGCCCCCTCTCCCCAGGCATGAACTTCTGGAAGAGGCCTGCCGCCAGGGGCTGCCCTTTGCTGCCTGGGATGGGCCCACCGTGGTCTCCTGGCTGGAGGTACTGGGGCCCAGAAATGGCCTGACTCTTGATCCCACCTCTGTGACAGCCCCACCATGAGAAGCTGGCCAGATCCACCCAGCACCATCCTCCTAGCCCAGAGGTGGGGGAGGGGGGAGGGGAGGAGGCCCTGAGAGGGGTCAGGCTTCTTGTTGATCTTGCTGTTGTCCTTTCTCCTTCTCCCCCCTACCCCTGCCCGTCTGGCCATGCCTGCCTTGGTCCTGTTCTCCTGTTGTCTTTCCCCATGTCTCTCCCTGTCTCTCCCTCTGTGGGGTTCTCTGTCTCTGTTTTTCTGCCTCTCTCCTCTTCTCTGTGTTTTTGTCACTCCCCATACTTCTTCCTATGTCTCTGGGTCTTCCCATGTCTCTCTCCCAATGTCTATTGCTCCTTTCTCTTTCCATGTCTGCCTTGTCTCTGTGTCTCTTCACATCTCTGACTCTCCCCATTTCTCTCTTTCCCCTTTGACTCTGGCATTCCTCTTCTCTGTCTCTCTTCATTTGTCTCCCTGTGACTCTCACATCTCTTTGCCTCGCCCTATATGTTTCTTGTCTAACTTTCTCGTGTCTTTCTGTTTCTCCCCCACTTGCCTTTCCCCATCTCTCTGTCTCCCTCTCTTTCCTTCTCCCTCCCATCCCTCCTGTTTCTCCTCCGATATCTTCTCTGTCTCTCCTCTGTCTCTGTCTCTCTCTCCCCTTCTCTCTCTTTCCTTTCCTTCCTCCCTCCTTCTCTCCCTCCCTCTGGTCCAGCTGTGGGTAGGCATGCCTGCGTGGTATGTGGCCGCCTGCCGGGCCAACGTCAAGAGTGGGGCCATCATGGCCAACTTGTCAGACACAGAGATCCAGCGCGAGATCGGCATCAGCAACCCGCTGCACCGGCTCAAGCTGCGCCTTGCCATCCAGGAGATGGTCTCGCTCACCTCCCCCTCGGCTCCCGCCTCCTCCCGCACGGTGAGTGTCCAGCGGCCAATCCCAGCCCTGGCTGCCTCAGGGCCCCGCCCCTTGTCCTCAGACTAGCCAATCCTGGGCCGGCTCACTCCCGCGCTGACTGGTAGACTCTGCTGCTCTCTGTTGTCTCTCACCTGCTTATCCCTGATGGGGAGTCTCCCCTCAGGTCTTCCTGACCCCCGTTTATCCCTAACCCTCAGTCTGTGTTCCACGCTGCAGCCAGAGGGACCTCATCCCAGAAATAAAGCCAAATTCGTGTGGTTCCCTGTAAGGCCCTTGATGAGGGGCCCTTCCCTGCTCCTTCCCTGACTCCGCCCCCCGGCACTTGCTTCTCCCTTTTCTTGGAGACCCCCCTCCCCCCACCAGCTGTTTTCCCCAAGGCTGGCTCCTTCTCATCCTTCTGGTCTCAGCTCAAATGTCACCACCTCAAGAGGCCTCCCTAACTCAACAGCTAAACTAGTTGCCCGCCCCATCAACCCAGTACACGAACACCTAATTTTTTACCATAAAATTTATTGCCTTCTAATAGTTTATCCTTTTGGTCCATACAGAAAATTATGTGCACCCATGCCTAATTCAACAATGGTGATTGTTAACCCCTTGCCGTGATTGCTCTTTACCTGTGTGTGTGTGTGTGTGTGTGTATCTGAAGCACTTAAATGTAATTTGTGGACATCATAACAGGTTAGCCGGAAAAATTACTTCAGTGTGCATCTTCTAAAAATAAACATTCTCCTATGTAGCTACCATGCCGTTATCACACCTAAGAATAGCGACATTATCGCTAATTTCATCTACCGTTCAGTCTTTATTCAAATTTCCCCTTGTGTATCCCAGACACTACAGCTGTGCCTGGCACTCATGAGGAGCTATATAAGTGTGTGAATTCTCACTTCATGGGGTTGTTGGGAGCAGGTGCTCAATAAATGTGAATACACGGCCCCCTCTCCCCCAAACATTTGCCCCGTTGCTGTATCTGCCACCTCATTCTGCATCCTCGCTCTGTACATCTGCGTGAGGTTGGCGAGGTGACACCATTTGCACAGGGCCACGCAACAAAACGTCTAGCAGAATCCCAATTCAAACCTCACTTTGTCCAACCCCAAAGCCGGTGTTCCTTTGCCTGGTACACAGCAGGTGCTCAATAAATGATCATTCTTTTTCTTTGTCACGGTGTGGCCCAGAGCAGGGACTGGCCTTACTGAGCCAGAAAGCAGACTGTATATAAATATGCATGGCCTGGGCCTCCAGGAGGAGGACTTTCTTCCCCTCCCCTATCCGGAAGCCCTCTCTCAACCCTCCTTCCCCTCCCCTATCCGGAAACCCTCTCTCAACCCTCCTAACACTGCCGGCCCCTCAGTCCACAGGAAACGTGTGGATGACACATGAGGAGATGGAGTCCCTTACGGCCACCACCAAGCCTGTGAGTGCCCCCTGCCGGCAGCCTTGGGGGTGGCACTAACTCTCCCTGGGGAGGGACAGGGGGCGAGTCTGTAGCTGTCTGTCTGTCTGTTCGTCCCTCCCGCCCTCCTCCGCCTGCCCCTTAACCCACCCCTTCTCTCCCCTCTTCCCACTAACGGGTCAGGAGACCAAGGAGATCAGCTGGGAGCAGGTAGGGGGCGCGGGGCGGGACGTGGGCGCATGTCCAGGCTGTGCACGCTGCATGGACGCCCCTCCTTCTCCGAGCCCCGCCCTTACCCTTGCCGGAGCATTCCATCATCACCGCGGGGGGGTGCTGCGCGAGCTCGGCTCTGGGCTGTCTCACTGTGGCTTGGTGGGGGTGGGTGCAGAAGCCCGGACTGTTCCGTTGTTAGCGTGGTGCACGGGCCATTCCATTATCGTGGGTTGCAGGGGCTCCAGGGACTGTTCCATTGCTGTAAACTTGAGAGACGCTAAGCAGCAGGTTTCCCTCTCATTGAGGGGGCAGTGGGACTGTTCCAGCGTACGGGGCAAAGGGGGAAGCATTTGGGGAGGACTGGCTGCATGTTAGGCTGAGAAGTTGGGGAGGAGCTACACTTTGTTCTCAAGAAGGGGGAGGCACGAACTCACGTGAGGTGGAGGAACTGTGTTGGACTGGGGTGTTTGTGTCCAGTCAGGGGGAGGTGTGGGCTGTTTCCTATGCCAAAGGGAGTGAAGGACTTCGGGCTCATCCAGAATATTATCCTGGGTGAGATACAGCCTTAGACCAGTATTTTTGGGACAGTGCAAGAGTGATGGCTCCATTATCCTTTGTTGGAGGGAGAGCTCCTTTGGAAGAACCCACTGTCCTGGCTTGAGGGAGCGGTGGTGTTGTACTGATCCGTTGTTCTGAGTTGGGACAGAGCTCGGCTAGAGCTTCTCAAACTTGAATGTATAGTTCAGATCACCTGCGGGTCTTGTGAGAATGCAGGTTCTTATTCAGTAGCCTGGGGTGGGGTCTGAGATTCTGCAATTCCAGCAAGTTCACAGGTGATGGTGATGCCGCGGGTCTAAAGACCACGCTTTGAGTAGACAAGAGTTTGTTCTGTCATTTTGAAGGGGTGGAAGACCACTTTGGACGGGTCCATTGTCCTGAGCGGAGATTGGCCATTGGCCTGCTATGGGATGGAGAAAGAACAATCTTGGATTGGGGGGTTGGACTATACCCTTTCATACGTACGTGGGAAGGGGTCAGAGGGCCTGACCCTTCCCCCACCTGCCCATGGCCCCAGATCCTGGCATACGGCGACATGAACCACGAGTGGGTGGGAAACGACTGGCTGCCCAGCCTGGGGCTGCCCCAATACCGAAGCTACTTCATGGAGTCGCTGGTGGATGCCCGCATGTTAGATCATCTTAACAAGAAGGAGCTCCGGGGCCAACTCAAGATGGTGGACAGCTTCCACAGGTGGGGGCTGCTTGGCCAGTGGGGACTGTCCAAGGGGAAGCCCTACTTCTCGAGTCTCTGGGACTGGTGATGGGAAATTCCTTGGGACTGGTGATGGGAAATTCCTTGGACTATCGTTGGCCCTTTAGCCTGGATCCTCAGGAACTCCTGACCGCTGTGCCTCTTCCACCAATAAGGTGGTCCACTAGGAAAAGTCCAAAACCTGAGACAGCCTGGCTAGTTGACCCCACACCCCTTCCAGGTTAGCCCATAGGAACTGCCTGTTTCAAGAACTCCGGCTTCTGGGGAGGTCAGCAGTTGATAGAACTGACGCAATGGGACAACTCCCCGAGCTCTCCCAGAAGACCACAGCCAATGGGGAGGGCCCAACAGGAGCAGCCGTCACTGGGGTTGTGAATGCTCATCTGTGACTCCATTTCCCCTGCTGCTCAGGGTGAGTCTGCATTATGGGATCATGTGCCTGAAGCGGCTCAACTATGACCGGAAGGACTTGGAGCGGAGGCGGGAAGAAAGTCAGACCCAGATCCGAGGTGAGCAGAAGAGTCTGAGAGTCCGGCCCCCCGGAGCCAGCTGGAGGGTTTGGGGTTGGGCTGGAGGAGGGGTGGTTAGGGAAGCGGAGGGAGGCCAGGGAAGAGGAGCCTTATTGTAAACTAGGGGGTGGAGCCAGCACAGGGGGCGTGGCCAGGAAAAGAGAAAATGGGGCGTAGGTATGGGCTAAGTTGGATGGGCCTGCAGCTGAGGGTCCCTTCCGTCCCCAGACGTGATGGTGTGGTCCAATGAGCGGGTCATGGGTTGGGTGTCCGGGCTGGGTCTGAAGGAGTTCGCCACGAACCTCACGGAGAGCGGGGTGCACGGGGCGCTGCTCGCCCTGGACGAGACCTTCGACTACTCCGACCTGGCCTTGCTCCTGCAGATCCCCACGCAGAATGCGCAGGTGAGCTGCCGCTTGGCCCGGGGCCTACTGGGTATCCCCACCTCACAGACCGCACGCTGCAACCCCTCCTCCACCTCTCCTCCCCAGGCCCGGCAGCTCCTGGAGAAGGAATTCAGCAACCTCATTTCCTTAGGCACAGACAGGCGGCTGGACGAGGTAGGCGCAGCAGCAGCTCAGAAGGCTGGGCTCCCAGCTGCACTTGGAGGGTCGGAGCTGAAGGCTTGACTTTGCCAACCAGCGGTGGTTGGAGGCGGGGCCAGGAGGGAGGCGGGGTTAAAGGAGAGCTGAAAGCCGGGGAGGGGTGGAGTCGAAGGAAGGGGCGGGGTCAGAACGGGGCCCTGGTCCCTCACCGGCTGCCCGGCCCCTATACCTAGGACAGCGCTAAGTCCTTCAGCCGCTCCCCATCCTGGCGGAAGATGTTTCGAGAGAAGGACCTCCGAGGCGTAACCCCCGACTCAGCTGAGATGTTGCCCCCCAATTTTCGTTCGGCCGCCGCAGGGGCCCTGGGCTCGCCGGGGCTCCCTCTCCGCAAGCTGCAGCCGGAAGGTGGGCGGCTCCCAAATGCGACAGCCTCTCCCGCCCCCTTTCCTCGGGATAGGAAAAGGACCAACTTAACATTCCAGAAGCCTCCCTCTCCAGATTCCGAAATGGCCTAGCCCTTTCTCCCCCACCCATGACAAATGGACCACTCCAGTATGCCAGCTCCCTCCTTAGGGTGTGGAATGGATTCATCTTACACCCCCTTTGCAGTGTGGGAAATGAACTCGCCCAGTGCCACCTAGGGCACCTTGGATGAATCCAAGGATGTAGGAAACGGAGGGAAACCGGCGGAGAGCCAGGCGGTTGTTGTCACCCCGGGAGGGGAAATCCGAGGGAGGACGCTTGGGGTTGAACCTCGGAGAAACCCTGGGGAGGATCTGGACGGAGTGGGGTGTGTGATGCTCCAGGCTGAACCGCTGCTCGCTCTCCCTCCAGGCCAGAGTGCTGGCAGCTCCCGGGCAGACGGCGTCTCCGTCCGGACCTACTCCTGCTAATGTAGGCCTCCAGGTGAGGACTGTCCTGGGCGATCTTGGGGGTTCGGGGCGGCCCAATGGATCTTCACTGCTGCACGTACTGCCCGGCGTCCATACAGGTGACCTCACTCGGATGGAAGAATCTTCCAGAGGCTGGGCTTTTCCCCCTCCCGCCCAGAGTATGGTCTCGCCGGGGAGAGCGGGCGGGGGCGCTCGCGCCGCGGACCGGACCATCTGTACAGACAAGCGGGAAGCGCGCGTCCCCGCCTCACAAATGGACTGGGCCTGGACCAAACCACAGGAACTGGACTGAGAGGGGGAAAGAAGCGGGCAGGAAGAAATCCCGCCCCGAACTTCCGCCTCCGTTTTCTCTACTTTGTAATTTATTGATCGGTTTCCGACGGGAGATGGAGGCCCTTTCCCCGCGGGGAGGGGGCGGGGCTTCCCTCCCGGGCCGCATGCGGGGAGAGGCTGCCCCCTCTCTTTTCTCCTCCCCAGTCGCGGGGCCCAAGTCTTCCTTCTCCGTCCGAAAGGAGGGGAGGGGGGACTCGCTGCTACAAGCCTCGCCCCCTGTGCCACTCAGCCCCGCCCCGCCGCGTCCGGTCGCCGGTGCCTGGGGTCAGCGGCGGCCGGCGTCCCTTCTCCCTCCCCAGTGTCTCGTGTCCCCGGGGCCCCTCCGCCCCCCGTGCTGTGGCCGTGTCCGTGCCCCGCGGGTAGGGGGTGCAGAAGTGCGCTCCCCGCTCCCCTCCGGCTCTGGGGTTTGCATGGGAGAATCCTCTTTCCACGATGCCACTGGGCGACGTGGCGTGAGGGGAGGGAGGACGGTGGGGGAGCCCTCGCCCCCGACTCTTGGTCGGCCTCCCTGCCCCAGGCGTCACTCAGTGATCACGGGTAAAGAGAACTGTTTCAAAAAGCTCCCATGTTGACTGATTTATTTGTCAGGACCTTAGGAAAGCAAACCAACCACCTCGAGGACCAGGCTCTGCCTCCCTCAGACCCACGAGTTCAAGTCCCCAGTCCCCACCCGCGTTCCCCGGTGCCCTGACTATCCAGACCCCACACCTGACAGTGTGGCTTTAGGGAAGCACGTTTATTCAGAGAAATAAATATGGCTCGTGGAAGGGGGTTTGGAGGGCTGGGGAGGTATGTCTGCGCGCAGCCACGCCCCCAGGTCAGGGTTCCGGAGTTTCCAGCATGGCCGCCAGGGCTCTGGAGAGAAGGACGCAGAGGTCAGTCTCTGTCCGAAGCTCACCCCAGGGCGCTTACAGATCGTTAACTTGCTCATTTCACCGACAGGGAAATGGAGTCCCAGGGTGCTCCAATAACTCATGGTGGGACAGCGCCACTCTAAACAGGGCCCTTAAAGTCCTCCCCCCCCCCCCCCCCACTTACTGGTACAGGGACGAGGAGAAATAGTCGACGTAGCTTCCTGTGGGACAGAGGAGAGAAGAGGCTTTAGGGATCCTCCACGGGCGAAATTAGGGGGCCGCTTTTCACTCAATCCGGGATCAGGACTAGCTCTGCCCCCTTTTTCCTAATTCCTTCTACAAACTAGATTCCTTCTATTGGAACTCCTTTGAAAGCCCCTCTCCTTCCTCCTTGCTCTGGGTGTCCCCATTCTCCAGTATTCTGCTTGCTCTGACCCTGCCCACTGGGTTCTAGGCGCACCCCTCAACCCTCCACCCGCTCTTGCCTCCTAGGCTTCGGAATCCATGCCCATCCTTCCCTGCGTGCTGGCCCTGCTCCACCCATAGACTCAGCTCTGGCCACGCCTCCCCGCTTAGCCCCGCCCCAAGCCTTATGGGCCCGCCCCCCGACTTGGCTCCGCCCCCGCCAGGGTTGGCCTCTCTGGGCCCCGCCCACGCTCACCTGGACTGCAGACCGTTTCGCAAACCAGCGGGCAGAGGTAGCAGAACTGGCAGTGCTGGGGGCGGGGATGGGGAGAGAGTGAGCGCTGGGATGGGGTTAGGGGCGGAGTCGGGAGGGAGGCGGCGGCTGTACAGCGGCCAGAGGTGGAGGGTCAGGTCAGGGGCAGGATGGGCTGTGGAGTCAGGGCTGCATCAGCGGTGAGGGCAGAGGCCAGGTTTTGGGACCAGGGATGCTCCGATGGTTCTGGGACATCCTGGGGCCTAGTGGAGCCTGGCGTCCGGGGAAGTCTCACCTGGCACTGGTCACAGTGCTCTCCCATGTTCTCCTCGTCGCAGTGACAGTTCTCACATTCCGTGCACCGCTGGGGACCGGAGGGGGCTGATTAGATGGAAACCCTAATCCCTCCTGCTAGTCGACTGCCCCGCCCCCTGGAAAATTCCCCAACTCCTCATCCTCGTCCCTCCAACACTGACTTCAGGATCTTCCCCCAAACCCGCTTTCCTCCTCCCTCATTTCCCTATTGCAGGGTGACCCTATGTCCCCTGTCACTGTGGGCTGGACCTGTGCTCTCTTCACCCCCTATCTCCTATTCTCCCCACAGCCTTTCAGTCCCCACTCCTGTCCCACATGCCCCCGACTCTGCCACGGACCCTCCTCTCGGTCCCCACATCCGCAGGTGCCGCTCAGGCCTCACTGTCTCTTTCCTGGATCATTGCCCCACCCTCCTCCCTGGTCTCCTGGCCTCCAGTCTGTCCCCCACATTGCCCCAGAAGTATCTTTGTTCCCTCAGAACTGCCCCTGCCCCTCCTTTACTCAGCGTCCCCTAAGGTACCCCTGAGCCCTGGGCCAGATTCCAGGGACTGGTTGGTAGATGGATCTGGGCTAGGGACATACATTGCAGAAGGTGCAGTAGCCACACAGGGACCCTGGCTGGTAGTTCCCGTACTCCTGGGCATCCCGTGGACCTGTGGGGACAGGAGGGCAGCAGTGACCCAGGCTGACTCTGCTCCTCCCCGCTCCCCCCCCCCCCAAGCCAGATGGCTTACCAGTGTCTTCCTCACTCTCCTCACTGGAGGCACCTCCAGCCACCTCCTTCCTGGCCCGTGGGTTGGGGATGATGGTGAAGGGGAGCTCATCTTCCTCGTCTTCTTCCTCCCGGTGCTCTTGGCTCAGTGGAGCCTGAAGCTCAGCCCTCTCTTCCCTCCTCTCCTCCTCCTCCTCCTCCTCCTCCTCCTCCTCCTCCTGGCTCAGGCTGAGACCATGACCTTCCTCTTCCTCTTCCTCATCCTCCTGACCCAGGCTGCCATGATGGGTGCCTTCTCCCAGCTCTGAGCCTTCATCATCTTCCTCCTGGGAGCTGTGGTCCTCTTCCTTCTCCTCTTCCTCTTCCTCCTCAGAGTCTCCGCCCCTGAAATGGCTTCTATCCTTGACCCCCGTGTGCCCTGGGGGCTGGTGGCTAGTTTCCTCTTTGATGGACCCTCTGTGGCCAGTCCCTTCATCTCCGTGGCCTTCTTGCCCATGGCTGGGAGCCTGGTGGCCAAGCTTGGCAGAAATGTCCTCATCTTCCTCCTTGGGGACTCCGTGGTGGTGACGGCCAGGGACTGCTGTTTCATACTCATCTGGGAAGTCCTCTTCCTCAGAGCTCTTGTGGCCTTCGGGTTGGTGGCTCGCAACATGGTGGCTGAACTTGACTGCGATCTCCTCCTCTTCCTCCTCATCCTCATCTCCAAGGCCATGGTGGGTAGGTCTGGCAACTTTGTGCCAATGTTCAGTGGACTCATCCTCATCTTCCTCATCTCCATGGTGTCGGTGCCCATGGCTGGGGACATGATGGTGATGTTCATCTGAGGCATCTTCATCCTCTCCCCTCCCATGCCCTTGGTGCCTGTGAGCCTGGCGTCTGTACTCAGTAGCGACGTCATCATCATCATCATCATCATCTTCATCATCATCTTCTTCTTCTCCTTCCTGGCCTTGGTGTCTGTGGCCAGGGACATGATGGTGATGTTCATCTGAGGCATCTTCATCCTCTTCCTTCCCATGGCCTTGGTGCCTGTGGGCCTCGTGTCTATACTCAGCAGAGACATCATCATCATCATCTTCTTCTTCATGGCCTCGGTGCCCGTGGCTGGGGACATGATGGTGGTGTTCACTTGAGACATCCTCATCCTCTTCCTTCCCGTGGCCTTGCTGTCTGTGGGCCTGGTGTCCGTACTCAGTGGAGACACCCCCCTCCTCCTCATCTTCCCCATCATCCTCTTCTCCTCTGTGGCCTTGGTGTACATGCCTGATGATACGATGATGACGCTCACTGGACACAACTTCGTCCTCATCCTCATCTTGGTGGCCATGACTCCTGTGGCTGGGGAAGTGGTGCCCATGCTCGGCCGAATCATCCAGGTCTTCGTTCCCATGGCCTCTGTGCCCATGGGCCTGCTGAGCATGCTCTGTGAAGACCTCCTCCTCAGAGACATTCTCATCCCCAGCCTCATGGCCTTGGTACCTGTGGCCTTGGACTCGGTGACTGTATTCCCTGGAGACATATTCATCCGCTTCTTTGTGGTCTCTGTGGCTCTGGAATTGATGCCCACTCTCTGTGGAAACATCCTTGTTCTCATGTCCATGGCCTCTCTGGCTGTGGATGGGATGGCCAAACTCAGCAGACCCGTCCTCTGAGGGCCCTGAGACTCCTGAATGGTCGTCCCAGTTGCTGGGGCCGGGCCCAGCCCCTCTCAGCTGCTGGGTCATGGCAGGGGGGAGGAGCAGGCTGGCCACGGCAGCCCAGAGGACAGAGGTGTGCAGCCATGGCACACGATGGCCCATGGGGAGCAACAGGGAGCAGAGCTTCTCCCAGGGCTGGCTCCAGCTGCTGCTGCGGCTGCGTGGATGAATGTTGGGGTCCTTGTCCCTTTTGGGGTCCTCCTCTTTCTCTCTTTCCGTGGCTTTCCTTTGCTGTGTCTCTCTCCACCTCTGCCTGTCTGCCTTCCCCTGGCCCTCACTGCCAGGCTCTGGACAGCCCTCTGAGGCAGAGTCAGGAGCCCCCTGACCCCCCTCTCAGGCCCTCCCTCCCACTTCCCAGCCAATAGGGTCTCTCCCCGCCCCTCTCTGTGGCTAAATTTACTCTGAGCCCTGAGTTATTCTGGGCCAGTCCCCGCCTGCCCCTCCCCCCTGCTGGGGAGGGGGTGTGTGAAGGGGTCTCCTTGGCCAGGAGAGGAGGACCAAGGGACTTAACTTTAGACCGCCAACAAGTTCATGTCTGGCAGCTGCAAAGACAACACCTAGACTTCTAGCTGGCCAAGTTGGGGCAGCCTGAGGCACCTGGGGTGTCAGGGGGGACCCTCTGAGGGAGAGACCCCTGACATGGAAGGATTGGGATTAGATTTGGGGCCAGAGTTTCCGGCCAGAATGGGACCCATTGCTGAGAGAGTGGATGCCAGTATGGAGGGCCTGGAGGTGGGGAAAGGAACGCTGCTCCCAGCCCCGGTACTCATGACCTCCTGTCCCTGGAACTCGGATCCCAGGGCAGGGGACCCGGCCAGGCCAGGGCTATAAATACAGCAAGGAGGGTGGGGGGCTCAGGTTACCCAGTGGCCGCAGCTGTCCCTGTCAGAGAGAGCCAGCAGGACACATGTGGCCCTGGCTGCCTGTTGTCACTATCTCCCACTCCTCATCCTGTCACTGTCGCCCTTGCTCTTGTGTCCCCATCCCTCTTTACAGGTCTCCCTCTCTCTCTTGTGGTTCCTTCACCCACTCTCTCAAGGTCCCCATCCCCTCTCCCCAGGATTCTGTCCCTTCTCGCTCTGAGTGTCTGCCCCTCACCCAAGTCTTTGTCTCTTTCTCTCTCTCTGGGTCAGTATACCACCCCCCAAATCTCTGTTCCCTCCTCTTTCTAATTCTCTGCCTCCCACCTAAGTCTTTGTGCCCCCGTCCAGGGTCACTGTGCCACCTTCCCCCATCTCTGTCATCCCCCTGGGGAGCTGTCCCTCTGTCTCTGGGTCTCTGTCCCCACCTCTGAGTCTCTGCACTTCATCTAAGTCTTTCTTTCTCTTTTGGTCAGTGTACCTCTCTCCTCTGGATCTCTGGGCCTCTTTTTCTGATTCTCTGCTTCTCACCTAAGCTTTTGTGTGCTCTCCTCCTCTAGGTCTGTCCCCCTCTCCCTGGGTCTCCATCTCCATATCTCTGGGTCTCCGTCTGCCTCTCTCTGGGTCCCCATCACCCCTCTCTCTGGGTCCCCGTCCCCCTCTCTCTGGGTCTCTGTCCCCCTCTCTCTGGGTCCCCATCACCCCTCTCTCTGGGTCCCCGTCCCCCTCTCTCCGGGTCCCCGTCCCCCTCTCTCCGGGTCCCCGTCCCCCTCTCTCCGGGTCCCCGTCCCCCCCTCTCCGGGTCTCCGTCCCCCTCTCTCTGGGTCTCCGTCCCCCCCTCTCCGGGTCTCCGTCCCCCTCTCTCTGGGTCTCTGTCTCGAAGTCCCGTCCGGCCCTCTGCCCCGCCTCCCGCTCTGCGTGTCTCCGAGACTCCCGCCCCCCCCAGACTTTGCCCCGCCCCAGGCAGGGCTGGAAAGTGGCGGATCCGGTTTGTCCGGGGCGGGTCTGGAACCCGGGTTCATAGACGGGATGTAAGGAACCGGATAGGTTGCGGCGGCTGCGGCAGCATGGTGGGCTCAGAGAAGGAGCAGGTACAGCAACCGGACCCCCGGGACGGAGGGAACAGGGAGCTGGGGGCCTGGTCTCCTCGTTCCCAGAGAGGAGGGCGCTGGACACCCAGATTCTTGGGTCAGACGAAGGAGGGTGGGGGGGCCCGGACTCCTGGGTCTTTGTGGAGGGGTAGGAAGGGAACTAGGAGGGGGTCGAGACTCCTGAGTCTGGGGGAGGAGGGCGCTGGGTCCCAGATTCCTGGGTCCCAGGGCGGGGCGCGGGGTGGGTGCCTCCGTGCCCCATAGGACTGAATGGGAGCCCCCCATTCCCACCCCTTGTTCCTGGCCCCAGAGCTGGATCCCCAAGATCTTCAGAAAGAAGACGTGCACGACGTTCATCGTTGACTCCACAGACCCGGGGTGAGGAGTTCGCCCCGGGACCGACCCCTGAGTGTCCCCGGCCCGCTAGCCCCGCCCACCTCAGACCCCGTCCTTCGGCCCCTCCCCCGTGCCAGTCTCTGCGGACACTCCCAAGGGCGTTCCCTGGTGGTCCTCTCCCTCGGGCGGGTTTGGGTCTGTGCAGACACTTCCAAGTTCCCATTCTCTCGTTCAGGTTCAGTGTTAAGGGTCCGGGACTCGGTTCTCTTCTTTCCTTCCCCGTGTCTCTCCTATGCGTCTCTGTCTCCTTGTGCCACTTTCTCTTTTTCTTTTGGGTGTTTCTGTTGCATTCATTCATTCATTCATCCAGGAAACTTCACCGAGCGCTCCCGAGGGGGCATAATTTTCAGGAGCACAAGCCCGACCAAAGTTCAGATCTCCCCTGGGACACGTGCTGTGTGGCTTTGCGCAAACCGTTTCACCTCTCTGGGCCTCATCTGGGCATAAAAACAGGCCCTGTCTCCAGGGATTATTGGGAGAATGAAACAAGTTAATGCTTGTGATATTTATGGAACAATGCCCAGCACATAGTAAGCCCTGGAAAATATCAGCAATTCTCACTCTGGGGTAGCAGTTATGACTGTGGACAGGCCCCGTTGTTTGTGCTGGATGGCTGGGGACACCGAGTGAGCCAGTCTGGTATTTGCCCCCTTAAGGAGCTCCCTGCCTTCAGCGAAGGTCTCCCGATGGGTTCTGAGTTTCTAGTTGTTCTTTTTTTTTTTTTTTAAAGATTTTATTTTTCCTTTTTCTCCCAAAGCCCCCCGAATACATAGTTGTGTATTTTTAGATGTGGATCCTTCTAGTTGTGGCATGTGGGATGCTGCCTCAGCACAGCCTGATGAGCGGTGCCATGTCCACACCCAGGATTCGAACCGGCGAAACCCTGGGCCACCGCAGCGGAGCGCGCGAACTTAACCACTTAGCCACGGGGCCGGTCGCTCTAGTTGTTCTTAAGACAATCTTTAGGGTGTAGGAAATGTCAACATTCCTAATTTAGTGTGTGTTTTGTTAGAAACATATTAGTGCAGTGTGGCTTGCAATCGTGTAGATAAACAGATATACATTGCTGCCGGCGAGTGCCCAAAACCTTTTTGTCCCTGGAAGTGTGGTCAAGAAAGCTTAGGGACCTCTTGTCTGGCGGGAGGCGGACAATTGTAAGGCAAGGGGATGGGAACTGCAACGGATGCGCCACTGGACCCCAGGGGTGCAGAGAGGAGGCATCTGGCTAAGACTGGGGAGGGGTCACGGGGTGTCACTAATGGCTTCTGGAGGAGGATGGGCCAGTGAGGTGACATTTGAAGGACAAGTTGGAGCTTGACAGTTGAAGGTGGGCTAGAGAGGAGTGTGGACAGTGATCCCAGGGGCAGGAAGATCATGTGCAAATTGGCAATGTGGTGTGGCTTGAAAATGGAGCAGAGTTCAGGGAGCAAGGAGCGCTGTCGCGAGAGAGGAGGCCACAGACGAGGGCAGGGCCTCAAATGCCACCCTGCGGGGCTGGGACCTTGTGCTGGGGCACTGGGGAGCCACAGGAAGGGCAGGGTCAACTCTGGGTGTGGAAAGGCTCTCTAAGGGCTGTATGAGGATGAATAGGAGTTCAGGAAGCCAGGGAAGAGGCTGGGCGAGGGTCCGGGTGGGAGAGGAAGAGGCCTGAGTCAGGCCAGGACTGGGGGACACAGAGAGGAGGGGGCAAGGGCAGGACTGATGGATTTAGAGAGTGACGGGGGAAGGAAGGAGGATGGTATCTGGTTTGGGGTCTGGGAGACAGCGAGGTTGTCCCCGAGATGTGAGAACCCAGAAGGATGAGCAGGCTTGGCATATGTCGCCGAGCTCAGAGTGGGACTTCGTGCACAGGAGGGGCCTGGGGGGAACCGGGGGCGTTGCAGACCTGGGTCTGGGATTCAGGGAAAGATCTGAGACTTGAGAAGTCTTAGCCGTAGATGGCAAAGAAACTGGGGAAGGAGGGGGTACGCCACAGGGGAAAAAATGTGAGAAGTCAGGGAGGTTGCAAACTGGCAGTTCTGTGGCCCAATGTTTTTGCATAGAAGAGCAGTTTTAACAACCTGTCTCTGAATGCCTCAAGACAAACATACCTGCCTGACATGATGGTGTCACATGGATGGTGACACATCCACTTGTCTGGAGCTTCTTTCCGTTAATGACTTGCCTGGCCCCTGGAGGCATCGAGTTTGAGACCCGTGTAGGGAAGCTGGTGGGCCTTGCTCCCGGGAACACCTGTACTCAAGGGAGACAGAGGAAGAGAAAGGCACAGATAAGGTGGGCACAGAACACCAGGGATGGGGGGCAGGTGTTCTCTGCCAAGGAGGAGGTTTTCTGGAATTGGAGCCCTCTAGCTGTGACCAGCTGCTTTGTGATAAAGTCAGATGAGACCTCAATACAGGCCATTGTATTTGGGGACACGCAGGTAATCGCGGATCTTACAGAGAACAATTTCAGTTTGGGTGGCCGCACTGAGGAAGGGGAGGGTAGGACGTGAGGAATGCAGAGGGGGAGTCTGCCAGTGCTGTCCACCAGAACTTTCTGCGATGGTGGCAATGTTCTATATCCATGTCCAATATGGCAGCCACTGGCCACGTGTGGCTCCCGAGCACGTGACATCTGGCCTGAGTGACTGAGGAACTGAATTTTTAATTGTATTGAATTTTAATTTATTTGGATATAAAGACTCCCATGTGGCTAGGGGCAACTGTATTGGACAGCACAGGTTCTAGAACATTCCATGAAGGAGTTTGGCCAGGCAAGGCTAGTGGGAAGTAGATGGAAGGGACCGAGGGGGTCCAGGGATGGGATTGAGATGGGTGAAAGGATCAAGTGGGTAAACTGAGGCATGACAGGACCCTGGAGGTAGACTCAGAAAGGAGGGGTGTGTTCCTCATTGTGGTTGGCCATTCTGTTAGTGTCTTGACAACTTCTGCCAAATCCATGTACCACCTGTGTTATTCTTTCCACAAAACTGGCCCTTCACTCA